GAGCAGTGATTGAATAGTGTCACATAAACTGATTGATATTACAATTTAGATAGATTAATCAAAATTAGTTATTCTGATTAATACTGTTTTCAAATATTCCAACAATCGATTAATAGATTGTCAGATAAATAAAAATTAGTGTTTCTGATTATTCCAACAATCAATCAAAATTCTGATTATATTAATTGTCATGAAAATAGTTAAATAATCAAAATTATTACCACTAATGATTGTTCCAACTAGCTGAGTAATTGAAATATTGCTATTATCTTTCTTTATTGTTAAGTGCAAAACTACATAATGGGGTATCTGTACTCTGCCCATTTTTAGCCTTATAGGCTGTTATTGTTGGTTTTTACTTCAATTTTTTCAGCTTTCATGATTTGGGGTGGAGGGGGGGGCAGCTCATGACTTTAGGTTCTTTGGTTTGATTCCTACTGTCACCAAACTTGCTTGCCCTGTCTTTATTGTGGAAAACGTATAAAGGCTGTCTACCACTGTCACTAATTTCAAATTGCTAACTAGAGGGAAAGCAACTGTTTGGCAGCAAAAATCTTTTTACTGTATATATCATGGTTTGAGGAACACCGTACTAATCAATTAGCAAGTATCACTAATTACTTAACCCTAAGCATGTCACGTGGTTGAACTTGAACTACACTATCAGTGTATGTCCAAATTTGTTCAGGTATGAACTCTGGGTGAGCTAGGGCAGGGGTTCTAGTGTTCCAACAGTCTTGTTTCCTCTTCTGGTAGGTTTGCACAATGTTGATCATTTGTTTAGATTCATTATCTTGATATCCCTGGCTAATTAGGTACATTCTTAATGGAATGCTATAGTATATTAAGATCTGTATGTAGTTATCTGTTGGTAGTGCATTATAAATGTTTACCAACTCTCGAACACTGTTGAAGATGTTACTCCAAAGTTGCATAAATTCACTCCTAAGTTAAGTTTCTTTGTAGTAGTTGTATTTAGGTAGTAGTAATGTCTACAATTATCTTCTTATTTTGAATATGCTGCCATTGATTACTGTAAAACAACCCAAACTTAGACTCGCTAGTAAACATTGTCAGTTCTGTTCATCCCACTATTTCATTTCTGCTACTGATAAAATCATCAAACACATTCAGATTTTCATCTGCAATAAAGGTAAGGCATTAATGCAAATTACCACATTCACCCATTGAAAGTCTGCACAGAACTTTACTGTAAATTCCTTCTTTCTGACAGTCATTATTGGAGAAAACTAAACACTTTTCAAAGTCTGTATGATTCCATCCTGCAACATCCACTGTATTTCATTGCTTCTAACCTCTCTAGTGCTCCAAGGAAATTGACATAGTGGTTGCTTTATTGAAAATGCACCACCCTTGTCTATTGTTGCTGAGTCACTGTTGTTTGACCCATTTGGTCACATGGTCCCACAAACACATTGGCATAATCACTCAACAAGCTACTAAGTTACTTTTCCTGTGATGGGTCAAGATTACCATACTATGTTATTAACCAATGCCATCAGGTATGTTGGTAGCTATTTATTTGCTTTTAGTCACAGTATAAAAGACACAACCTAGCATTAATAACGTCTACTATGATTACGTTACTCATGACCATTCTAGCATCCAGTAGAATAACCAATCATCCATAATTACAAAGCAACACAAGGATTTCATCCCATATCAGGCAGATCACTGCCCAAACTAATACTACCTGCTTTCTTCAAAAGAAACAGTTTATTCCATGCATAGTTTTATAATCAAATTATATAGTACCAATGCATTAGACTTTGTCTGGATTAAGCCACGGAACATTACTTGTACAGATGAAGGTACTGTTATTTATTTCACTACATATACTTGTGCAATCCACTATTTCTGAGCTCAATTTGGATTGGATGACGTTCCCATGTAACATCATCTCACAAGTTGCACAGGCAAAACTGACAAACAAAATCCACAGTACGCTAATCCCAATGACACAGATTCCAAATCTAAGATTTCAGACAACTACTTTCATTTTAATGGTGACACATCCTAAACTAACTTGAAAGTTTACTTTTCTTCTAATATCTAGTTTACCATCATTTGCCATAATGAAGTTGGTATTCACAGGCTTCAGTGATAGTCTCACTCAGAGAGTTTGAAAGACTGAGATTTCTGTTAAGTTTCTTAATGCTCTTGTGTCTACTAGGAACTCAAACACTTTCCATTACATATAGGCACATGTGAAACTCCATCCAGTCCTGATAGAGCTGGCCAAACCATTAAACTCTTTGGTGCAAGCTGTCCATTGTGCTCTCTAAGCAAGTGACCAAGCCTGATTTGTTCTTCACCAGTTTTCTGGACCATTTTCTTGTCGCTGGTCGTCCTGGATCTACTGATCTGATGTACAGGTTTAATATCCTTGCCTACTCTGCAGATGTGCAAAATGCTGACATTATGAGTTGGTGTGCATATGCTGAGCCATTGGCTTGAGCAAATAGCTCTGCCTTTTTTGCTGTGTTGCAAAGTATAGGCAGTTCCTTTGACAGTACCTAAATAGTCTAGATACTTCACTCTTCCCATCCTGGAGGATGTCCAGGCAGAGACATGGACTGTAGTGTGTATGTGTGGAATGTATCCTTTGGGCAGACCTTACAGTTGCATGTAATCTTGTATTGTCATATACTCCATGGGTAGACCTTGATGCAGTGTATATCATGTAGGTGTACCATGCTGCAGCATATGCCTTAGGAAGACATGCTTAGCCCTGTCCACTCCTCACTGGAAAACAGTGTGGTTGCCTTCCATTATCCTCCTGTGGAGGTAGATGGTTGTTAACTTTCCAACTGGTTTCAGCCTGTGGTGATGTAGGTAACTAAGTTGCACTATAAAATGGTGGAATTGTTATAACAACTGCCACTGCAGAATTCTTTCTCTCTTATGGCTGGTTTGAAGTGACTATCTCAAAGCATGTTGCAACAGATCTGGCTTCTGTGAAAGAGATGATGATCCTCACACCATGGAACTGTCATATAAGCTCGTTGGAAAGTCTCTCAATAAAATTATCAATCAGGATGTCTTTCCAATCTGCAGAGGTAATTGCCAGGTATGCCTTCCCATGTAATTAGCACATATTATCTGCACAGGCTGCTGGTCTTTTGGTGCTGATCTTCTTCTGAGCCTTGAACCTGGCCCAATGGAATACTCATTTCTCAACTGGGGCAAACCAACAATGCAGCTCATAAATGATAATTTACTAGTCGTCTTGCTGCTCCTCATCCAAGTGTTCAACAGCACTGAGAGCCAGACTGTCTAAGCTCAGAAACAGACATCATACAGTTTGTTCCTGAGTCCATCTATTTCAGGTAGTCACTGCCTGAAATATTTCAGGAACTGATCCAGGTTCTTTCTTGCTCTCTCCTTGAACATCAGAGGAGTGATCTGTTAGGCATTGCTCACAGGGTCCTGTGTGCTGGGCCAAAGCTGCTCTTCCTCTCATAATCCCAATAGATGCTAGGAGATGCCATCGAAGTCACTCACAGAGATTATGACACCCTGGTCAGTCCCTGTTTTAGGGCTACAGGGTGATGGACTACTTTTCGTTACCCCAGGTGTTACAAGCCGCTGTAAGTATGACAGGAAATGTTTTTGTCCAGAAAAATACGTTGCTCCATAGGTTACAATCTTCACCTGTGAGTGCCAGTTGTTTCACCTGTTAGGGAGACAACTCTGAATGGTGTAAATCTTCCAACTGTGATACTTGCAGCCTCTTTCCTCAGGTTACCAATGGTCTTGACTAAAGCTGACTGACAACAGCCTGGAAATTCGATAGATATCTTCCAACACAGTCTGGAACTCACCAGGTGCCAGTATTTTCAAGTGCACCTTTGTTGTCCATGCTTTCCTTTTACCCAGATTTATCCTCAGGGGTACTGTCTACTTGAGTGATCTGGGTTTACAAGAAGTGAGCAAGTCGCCTGGATGCAATAGCTGTAGGCTGACCAATGCCATGGAAATTTTCAACATAGGCAAAAGTCCTATATCAAGGAGAAGACTTTCTTAGAATTCCCTACAACTATCTCTCTCTACTGGTAAACTCTACATCTATGGCATGAGCACTTTTGTGTCCAGAAAATGCAATTCTTCTCATGAAAAGTGTTCCTTAAAACTTTTTTATATTTGAGAGATCAAACAAAGGCTAGTGCACACATTTTCCTTTCAGAAACACTACAATAAATCCTAATGATATGACCCCAAAATTTCTCCTTCCTATCTACTGGTGGTATTATGTAAAATAATTTTTCTTTCAAGTGTCAGATAGGCAAACCCTTAAATAACAGCAGATAAGAGGAGTGTTCTTTAGTAGATGACTTTACTGAGTTTCTTAAAGTGTAAGATAATGAGTCTTAACAAATGTAAATAAATGAACAGTCTTTATTATCACAAATAAACATAAATTACGGTGTGAATACTTGCACAGATGTAATTATAGTCAATTCTACTGGAGTGTGTTTAGTTCCACAGTTGAAATAAACACCTTGGTAATCGAATATGATCATTTCTCCATGTTCTCTTAGTAGAACTGGCTAATGAAAGCATGTCTGAGTTCAACAGATAAACATGCTTTCTGTGTTCAGTTGATAGCATCACTAATATTTGCTCTCTTACAGTATTCATCAGCTTTTACATTAAGTCAGCATCAATCTGGCCAGCAAAGGATGTTACAGTGCTAATCCATTCAAACCTGATGCTTTAATTATTATAATAACCTCCTGTGCAGAATAAACATTATCTACTGTAGATAAAGCAACTAGTACAAGGTAATGTTAGAGAATTCCTGGATCACGTGTTGCCAACATTACAGCATAAATCTAAACAACCAAAAAATATTTTAAAATATATAACTAAAACAGGTAGAAATAATATGACCTGTTGTTTCCATATATATTTCCACTACTGTATATAACAAATCAAAAGTGCAAAAATAATAATAAAGTGGACAAAATGTATTTCAGAATGTCAGCAAGTGGGTGGTCTACTCGTCGAAGTGCAGCTTCCAAACAGTGTCACACCACCTCTTTGTGTGATTCTAACTCAAGATCAGGCCATGCAAAAGGAGCAAGAAAAAACAAAAAGATTCTTTTATGAGTATGGGTAAGAATCAAAATTAATTACATTAATTTGTTAATTATAATGTACTTGTGTTCTTATATTAATGGTTCTGGGGTAACTGCAGAATATTTCATTGAACAGCTGATTGGTTACCTATATCCAAAGAAACTGAAGTATTTTAAATTTAAAACTTTCATGAAAATCCCAATTATACAGAAGCAAAATAACTTTGATGGGCCTACAATGAACTCTGTTTACACATTCAATTTTCACTCAGTGTATCAATGAATGAATTCAGTGAAAATAAGTATTAGAAGAGTTATGGAAACTGAAGTGTTGACTGTCAAAATGTTTCATTTTGACTGTGATTTATATATTATGAAAGTATATTCTAATGGTACGAATATTTGAGTTACTGTGACTTTAAAGTTTGATCATGATGTTAATAATACAAAGGATGAATATGGTATATTAAAATGAGTTTGGAGCCTCACTACGTCTGGTCTTGCCCTATCTGATGACAATTGGTCTTGACAATAATACTGTAGCATAGTTTCCACTGCAAAAGGTATTGTAAGGCTGTCATATCCAAAGAGAACCAATCCTTCAATCTTTCCATCTAACATACAAAGATGACAATTTCCTAGTACCTGTTTCAACAGTCCAATCATACATAACTTCAATAAGTACTGCATTCACTGATTAAAGAGGTATTTCTTTGTATGAAATGGCATGAATACTCATTTAATTCTCCAATTGCTTGAGGTATGCTCAGATTGAACAGATATGTCATGGATGTAACTTGAATACATGTTACTTGTGTTGCTTTTGCAGATGGAGATCCTTCTTGATTATGTTGCATACTGTTAATTGAAGAATGTAGACAGTTTTGCCGATGATCTCTATTTTATGGATTCTCACTTATTACTTTGCTTGTGATGGCTGGGATACAACTTGTTGCAGGTCTCTTTCTGGATGATCCTGATGTCCCACATTGATCTATATTTTTTTTTGTTTTCCAATGCCATTAAATATATTAAGAGATATCACTATCTTTGAAATCTGAAGTCCCTAATATGAACACATCTGAGTGTATGAATATTTTGTACTAGAATGGGCTGTTATATACCATTCTCCTAAGCAATTGGTTTTGAGTGGCATCACACTATGTATGCACTGCTAAACAGTGTCGAAATATTGTACTGATATGTGTTCGAATTAGATTTTATATTGGCTGTGGTTATCATGTGACATGCTGATTTGCATATTGAAAATCGTTTTATTATAACATACTCAACCCTTTGTACATGACAAAGAATAAATATGCTCCACGTTGGCACTTTACCAGATAATATGTAGGTGTTAGACCCATGTTGAGCCACAATTTGTTTGCTTATTAACACAGTGTTAGCTCAGTGACTATATCCAATATGATGCCAACAGTGTTCCAACGTTTAATACTAATTATGTAGTTTGATAAATATTTATGGAATACTGCCACATGATAAAACGTAAATAAAATATTACCCGGTATTTTTTGTCTGTGCTTGTTTTAAGTACCATGCAAAGTTACTTTGAGAACTACTCTTGCGAGACTGAATACTGGGACTTGACCATACTTATTACAATGCACACACAGCTCCAGAGTTCAGGGAATAATTAAATTTGTGATATTGCATGGATTTGAACCAAGCTCATCAGCCCTGAAATCCAGAGCTGTACTTCAGGACTATCCTGCACCCACTGTGAAGATAAAATGCAAAATCATCGTGACCTTTGACTCGTACTTTATCTGCTACTATAAATGACCAGTGACTTCCATTCCATCTGTTACTTTAGCATAGCAAAACTTACACATATGTTATCAGTTTGTAGTAGTACAAACTCATTAGCTTAAAAACTCGCACATTTATGTTTGTTGACAAAGAAATTGCAGTGGCGAAGAACAGTGACATCTACAATAAACTATAACTGAAAATTATTGAATAATTACATTCTAGTTAATATATTAGAACTGCTAAGTGGTATACATTAATGACCACATTATTTCTCACATTTCAAACTCCGGCAGCCATTGTCTAACTTCTGTTATTTTTGTCTTATACTCAAATGTCATTTGATAAGATGAAAGCATTTTAATAATAATAATAAGAAGAAGAAGAAGAACAGAGGAAATAAGGTGTTTGGGTGCCTCATGAACTCTCCGATGATCATCGTTTCCAACATGTGAACATTGGTTTGTCTCTTCTTGCGTGTAATGCGCGTGAACCATTTTTGTACAGAATTGTCACTGGTGATGAAAAATGGATTCTCTATGCGAATATTTAACGCCAAAAACAGTGGCTCATTCATAGACAAAAACCACTTCGAACCCCCAAATCTGGACCCCATCCACAGAAAGTAATTCATTTCAAACTCCTCAATTCACAGCGAACTGTCAGTGCAGAGATCTATAGTCAGCAACTGGAACGTTTAGATCAAGCCATTCTTCAGAAATGCCCTTCACTCGTAATCGGAAAGGTGTTCTTCTTCTCCACGACAATACACGCCCAGATGTGGCACCTTTGACGCAACACAAGATTATGGAGTTTGGTTGGGAAGTTCTCCCCACCCGCCAGATTCTCCAGATATGGCACCATCTTTTTCGTTCGCTGCAACACCATCTTAATGAGAAAACGTATGCAAATGTGGAAGGTGTTAAAAAAGACATCGACATGTTTTTTGCTTCAAAGCAAAGTGATTTCTTTAATCAGGATATTAACAACTTGATTGTAAGATGTAAAGCATCACCGATAATAGTGGAGAATATTTCATTTAATAATTGTTTTGTTTTGACATATAAATTGTTCGGGTTTTTTCATCTAAAAAAGCGATATTAATTTCTTGACGACGTAATACAATATTTGAAAATTTTGAGTTAAGTACAGAAAATCATATGTGATCATTTGTTATGAAACTGTTAGTTAGCTTGTTCTGACATCTTTCTCTATATCTATCTTTCTCTCACACACAGTAGTACAATTGTACATGCACACACATATTATTCATTAAGCGTTCATCTTACCTATTATACAGATGTACAAACACAAGGATGGTTGGGAAAAGCTAAAGTCAAGGAAAGATGAAGAGAAAATTAGAGAAAATAGGAGCTAAAACTAGTAACCTAATGGATATATATATCCTCTAGTGCCGAAACCCTCACTAGCCAAGACAGTGGAAATAACAATGTAGACACTAAATCTCTGGCTGCTGATAGCCGTCAACCTCATATTATTAAACCGAGCCCTTACCCTCAAATAGAAAGTGACAAAACAGAACTGCAAACCAAGATTGTGAAAACAATCATCTGGAGACTACAATTTTAGACCATCAATTTCATCAAATTGAATTGAGCTCCCACCAAAAAGAAATCAACTATTGCAATGGCAGTGAAGATACTTTACTTTTTACTTGTGGACATGGACACAAGTGTCTGATGAAATGAGAGATTTTGTTTTTGTATTAGATATTACCTCTTGCCAGTACATGGATGTGGATTTCAGTGTTTCTACAAAATCTATTCTGTATCACAAGTATAAATGTCAATGCGCAAAGACTTATTTATCATGAGCAGTGATAAAGCTTAAAAGAGACTGATTTTGCTATTTGATACTCATCATCTAAGGGAAACATATTCTGCATTACATGCAAATTGTTTTCAATAGCAATGGAAACTTTGCTAGCAACAACTAGTTGCTCTGACTGGAAACATGCTGCAAGGGCATTGGTTGGCACGAAACAAGCTTACTGTATCAATGTTGCGCCACCAAAGTTGTTATTCATAAAACCAAAAGTGGATGAATTACCAAGACTTTAACAGAGCAGATGGAGTTTAGACAAAAATTGCTGGCACTAAATACTAGAGCATATTTTATCAGTCAGAGAGCTAGCATTCAGAAAAACCGATTATGTAGTTGGCTCAGTGCATAATGGAAATTATTTAGGAACACTAGATTGGATTGGATTTTTGTCTGTACCTCTGATGGCTTTATTGGCGAAACCATGGTCGTAATATATGATGTATTTGTGAAACGTACAATTGTCTTGTTTTTCCTCAATTGTGTAATTATGGAGTATACGTACACTTCGAGAGCTCTGCACCATATATTTTCAAACAAAATCTAATAAAATGTATCGTAGGTCGTGCTCATATGATTATCAATACTGTGATTATCAGTGATTATCAATACTGTGATTATCAGTGATTATCAATACTGTGCTTATCAGTGATTACCAATACTGTGATTATCAATACTGTGATTATCAGTGATTACCAATACTGTGATTATCAGTGATTACCAATACTGTGATTATCAGTGATTACCAATACTGTGATTATCAGTGATTATCAATACTGTGATTATCAGTGATTACCAATACTGTGATTATCAGTGATTACCAATACTGTGATTATCAGTGATTATCAATACTGTGATTATCAGTGATTATCAATACAGTGATTATCAGTGATTACCAATACTGTGATTATCAGTGATTATCAATACTGTGATTATCAGTGATTATCAATACTGAGATCAATATTTAAAAATACTTATTTTCCAACATGGTTTGTTAAGCTTACTATGGAGAAAATGGTGAAACGACTTTCTAGTCCTAGAGTTACGAATTTAAACGTTCTAAAATGCTAATGTTTATAGCTCTAACTTACACTGGTTATTCGCTATATTTACACCAAGAAGAAACAAAAAAACAGTCAAATGATTTCCTGATCGAGACTGGATCGGAAATTATAAGCATGTGACACATAAGAGGGGCAGGTACTCGGGCGACCTCTTTCTTTCACAGGTTACTTTTTCATGATGATTTTTTTTTGTAATATACACTTTTTTCGGTTTTACTCGCTATATGTTAATTTCTTGGCTAATGTCCACTAATGTTTTGATTATTATACTCTTTGTGTGATTGCGCATATAGCCTTGTATTCGCTTTAAGGTTCCATATTGTACTCATTTGCATAGAAATTAATGCTATTATAACATAAT